AAAAAAAAAAAAAAAGAAAAAAAAAAAAAGACCCCCACAAAAAAAGAAAGGAGAAAAAAAAAAGATTAAAGCAAACAACAACAAAAAACAGTGAGAAAAAGAGGGGGAGAAAAATGAATAACATGGCCTCTTGGAGGGGCGGGGGGTGCTCGTGGAAGGGGGTCCGGGGGGTCGAGGTGAAGGAGATGTCTGCGTTTTGTTTGCTACAACAGTATTCCTTCCTCCGTGCGTCCCCAGCTGCGCCTGTGATGAGCTCAGGGTGTGCGTGCCTGTGTGTGCGTGTGCGTGTGCGGGTGACACTAGTTCAGCCCCTGCCCTGTCTCCCCACGCCCCCTCCCCACCCCCGTGCCCTTCCCGTCTCCAGGATTTGGAAACTGTACAGCTTTTGTGGATTGTGCAAAAAACAAAAAAAAACCATACAAAAACCCCCCCAAAAAAGGGGGAAAAAAAAAGAAAAAAAGAACAAAAAAACCCCAAACCCAACGGCCCGACACCCCTCCTTGTGTTGTCTGTTACTGATCCGACGGCAGTGCTGGTCGTGAACCCCGCGCCGGGCCGAGCGCGCCCGCTCTGAGCATCCATCGGTCCAGAACATGAGCTCCTCGTGCTTTGGGATGTCTTTGGCCGAGGCCGCCCCGATCCCGCTCCCGTGCCCAAGATCCTTTCACTTTCCCCCTTGACTGGTCTTTTTGTGTATTTAGGAAGGAATTTTTAATAGGCACTTTTTTTATATTAAAAGAAACCTATATATTGAGTGACGAGGCTGCTTTTGCTTCTGTTCAGGGTCGGATGGTTGGCGGGGTGGGGGGGGGGGCCAGGGGGGGGGTCCCCTGCCGCCCCCCCCGCCTGCCCCGGTGTGCGAGGGGGCATGGAGCGCGCTGCAGTGGCTTGGCTGAGGTGTGAGGGTGCGTTCGCTGGCGCTGGGGAGAGCGAAGGTGGCTGCTCGGGAGGCTAGGCTGGGTTTGGACGCGGCCCCCTGGAAGCGACTGCGGTGAAGTGATTGCGAGGCGCCGTGCCCAGCGCCGCAGCTGTGCCGGCTTCCGAGGGGGCATCTGGTGCATCCTCCTGCCGCAGGGCGGCCGTGCCAATGTGTCGAGCCTGGCGGAGGGCGCTCAGGGTGCCGTGTCTGTGCTAGCGACGAGGCCGCGTGGCGCAAGAGGGGGATGGAGAGGCCTGCCCCGAAGCCTGCACGCTGGCTGGGAAACTGGGCGTGGGCCTGGCCTTTCCCAGCTCGGAGGACTCTCCCTCGCTGCCAGTGCGAAGGGAGGATGGCGCAAGAGGGGGATGGAGAGGCCTGCCCCGAAGCCTGCATGCTGGCTGGGAAACTGGGCGTGGGCCTGGCCTTTCCCAGCTCGGAGGACTCTCCCTCGCTGCCAGTGCGAAGGGAGGAAGGCAAATCCCCGTCCGGCCCTGAAAATCCGAGAGGAGCTGGTAGAAAGCGGAGAGAAGGCTAGTATGTCCCCCTTGCCACCCCTATGCGTGGCCACTCCCCGTGGGCTCGTGGGAGCCAGGGAGGAAATCCTGGTGGGCTCTGAGCTTGAAGTTACCCCCCAGCCCTTTGGGGGTCCTGTTGCAGTGAGCTCCCGTACGTTGGCCCCCACGGGCGACGCTCACCCTAGCAGAAGGCCCAGGCTCTACCCGCCTCCGGTGGCTGCCCGAGACTTGCATCGTGGTCGTGGAGCTCCGTGCAAGTGGCCCCAGGGGTGCAGGGCACAGGTGACAGCCTCGCGTGTTGGCAGAGGCGGTGGCGTCACATCCCGCAGCACTAGGTTTTTCTGAGCCCCCGCACCCGGAGGCAGGAGAGACCGCAGGACCGGCTTGCTTTGGCTCACAGTGAGTTGCAGGGTCCCGCAAACCCAACCCCAAAGGCTTAGAGCCCAGAGGGCAAAGAAGTGGACCTCAAACCCTAGCTGTAAAATGAGACCCGTGAATTTTTGAGTTTTCAAAGCCGGGCTTTGAAGAGGCGAGAGCTTTCAGACCCCCACGGTCTTGGCAGGAGTGAGGGCTACAAGTGGGGGAGCCTCAGAGCGTGGACAGTCAGAGCTGGACTGGACACGGCCTGTTGGTAGTCCTTAGGTTTCAGAGTGAACACGCCAGTCAGAGAAAGGGAAATGGGAGCCCCTTTGGTGCTCTTCCTCCTGCCTGTGCCACGGCAGAGCCCTGCAGGAGTCACCCTGGGAACGGTGTTTCCCTGCAATGTGGGGTTGGTGAAAGGACAAAACCCGCAATCCCAGAGATGGGGGAGACCCAGAAACCGGACCCCTGAGACCAGGACGCTCCCCCCACAACCCCCACAGATGTATTGGGATTAACCATTTCGACCTGCTCCAAGCTTCGGGCTGGAAACAGACAGCGTGGCAAGGATTGCACTGCTAATTCTGCAAGGCCCACGATGAGGGGCCAGAGGAACCGGGGCCGGCGGCCCAAGGATTCGGGCCAGGCTGAAAGCATTGCTGCAGCACAGTTTGCTGGTCTCCCCAGCACGGCTAGGCTATAAAAGGCTGATCCCAGCATCGGGAACAGCGGGGTGCTCCTGACCTGGCAGTGCTGGGCTCCATTTGCAGCAAGGGAGGCGAGGCAGCAAGTAGGTGTTAATCAGACAAGGGATACGGTCTTGGGGGGGGGGGGGGG